ACGAGCAGACATCCACCAGGTGGCGACAATATGAATGAAACGGCGATCAGCCACACGTTGGAATATTATTTGATGATGAAAAGGGGAAGAAACTGTGATCTGTGCCACAATGTAAATGCGCCTGGAAACAGGAAGCCAGCTAAAATGAGCCAGACAGAGGAGATGACATTTTAAGATGGATGACGTTCCTAGGTATGGGGCACACACCTTTGATCTGAGCTACGGTGTGGGTTCTAGTACAGCCAGGACTACACAGGGAAACCCTGTCTCAAACAAAACAAGCCAGGCAGTGGTGGTGCACTCCTTTAATCTCAGCACTTGGGAGGCAGAGGAAGGTGGATCTCTGAGTTCGAGGCCAACCTGGTCTACAGAGCCAGTTCCAGGACAGCCGTGACTACACAGAGAAACCCTGTCTTGAAACAAACAAACAAACAAAAACAAAACAAAACAAAAAACCAAGACTGGAAACAGAAGCTAACAGATCATGGTTCTATGCCAGCCTGGGCTACATAAGCAATACCCTGTTAAGAGAGATGGAGGAGGAAGGGATGGAGGAAAGGAAAAAGAGGAAGGAGAGGAGAGGAGGGAAAGGGAGGGGAGAGGACAAGAGGGCAGGAATTTTGCACCTCGCACAATCCCATCGCTGTGTAACGTCCAGACCAGGTGACTCCACAGACAGGAAGCAGGGCTGCCAGCCTGGAGAGGGGACCAGTCGGGTAGACACACTTTCATGTCTCTGTGTGGAAATGCTACACATCACAGAATCGTCACTGATAAGGGAAGATTTTATGTTACACAAGTTTTACCTCAAAAGATAAAAACCTAGCCGGGTTTGGTGGCACACACCTGTCATCCCAAGACCGCAGAGATGGAGGCAGGGGAAGGAGTTTAAGTCCAGCTTCAGCTACACTTCAAGTGTGAGGGCAACCTGAGCTACATGACACTGTCTACAATGAAAAAGAAAGAAAGAAAGAAAGAAAGAAAGAAAGAAAGAAAGAAAGAAAGAAAGAAAGAAAGAAAGAAAACAAACACCAGGGGACCGTGAAGATAGATAGCTGGGTCGGAACAATGCCTGCCACACACGCACAAGTCTGCATGGCCAGTGCCCATACTGAAGAACAGACAAAGCCAGCCAGGCCTGGAGACGCATGCCTGGAACGACAGCATCGGGAGAGAAGACAGGCGGATCCCATTACCAAAACAGCAAGCCCAGGCTCAGTGACAGATCCCGTCCAGAACAACACAAAACCCTCTCCAGACAATTGCCAAAGTGGGGAGGGGACAGAGGAGGACACTTGACACTGACCTCTGACCTGGCATGCACACATATACTACACATTCACAAATAAACAAATAAATAAATAAATGCCATGGAGATGGTTCAGTAGGTAAAGGCACTTGCTGCCAAGCCTGATGACATGGGAGAATTGCCATCAACAGTTCTAGCTGTGACCCCATGTGCAAAGACCGCGGTACACACCCACTGGAGCAGCAGTGGTCTGACTGCTGTGGCATAACCAACCACTTTCTGTTTGACACACCTAACTGTCTGGAGAGGTCACAGATGTGGTGGGAAGCACGGCTCGTTTTGTTGAATGGACTGCCTGCTACAGGACCCCTGTTTGTGGCTGCAGACGAGGACTGCTGTCAACTCTGCCTAGAGGAGCCCCTCTCCAAGTGACTGCAGACTCATAACTTGCCAAAGCATTGAGAGGAAGAGATGCTGAGTTCTCAGCCCTAAATGGGACATCTATATCACCCTTCCAAGGCTTGGGGAACATCATGGACAAGGTGGAAGAATCTAAGAGCCGGAGCTGGAGAGACGGCTCAGTGACTAACAACCCTGGCTGCTCTTTCGGGGGATCTGACACCCTCTTATGATCTCTGAGGCACTTCCCACATGATGGGTGTAGCGCACAGACATGCATGCAGGCAAAGCACCCATCTGCAGTTCAGCGCTGCACACTCTTGAAATCACAGCAGCCGTCATCATCAGCACAAGACTGGCCTGTCAACTTCCAGGCTCATGGGAACCCACCCGTCCCTAAGGACTGATACCCAGGGAAGGTTCTGAGGGAGGAGGGAGTGACATTTTCATCAGTGGTATAGACACAAGCAAGGGGCCCATGCTCCTGTAAACAACCATGTGAAATGCAAGGATGGGAGGGGACAGGGTGGGAGAGCAGGTGAACGGGACACATTCCACACAGAATGAAAACACCAGAGTGAAGTCCGTGGCTCACAACTGACATGTACTAATTAAAACAGTTTTTTCAAATAGAAAAGGGGCAGAGAGCTGGCTCAAAGGGAGAAGGTGTTACCCTGCGGGCCTGACCGACCTGTGTTTGAGCCCTTGATAAACACATAAATAAAGGTTTAAGTTAACATAGGCGGTGGACGCACACCCTTTAGTCCCAGCTCTCGGGAGGCAGAGGCAGGCAGATCTCTGTGAGTTCAAGGCCAGCCTGGTCTACAAAGCGAGTTCCAGAACAGCCAGACTTTTACACAGAGAAACCCTGTCTCAAAAAACAAAAAACAAGCCGGGCGGTGGTGGCGCACGCCTTTAATCCCAGCACTCGGGAGGCAGAGCCAGGCGGATCTCTGTGAGTTCGAGGCCAGCCTGGGCTACCAAGTGAGTTCCAGGAAAGGCGCAAAGCTACACAGAGAAACCCTGTCTCGAAAAACCAAAAAAATAAAAAAATAAAAAAAAAAAAAACAAAAAACAATCGAAAATGATTTAAAGTTACTAAAAATAATAAACAAACATGGATTTGGGGGTTGGATGCATACATTAACAAACTAAAGTAAATAAACTGATCACTTTGAAAAATATAAACTGCTCATTTAAAAAGAGTAAAATAGGCTGGAGAGACGCTCAGTGAAGTACCGGCTGCTCGTGCAGAGGACCTGGGGTTGGTTCCCAGCCCCACATGGTGGCTCACAGCCATCCTTAACTCCAGTTACAGAGGGTCCAGCTCCCTCTTCTGGCCTCCAAGGACACCAGGCATGCGCATGGTGCACAGGCAAGACACTCACACATAAATAAATCTCGAAATCACAATTAATGAAAAATAACTGAAAGAAGTGAAGTAGGCTAGATGAGGTGTGCACACGTTATCCCAGTACTCTTGAAGGCAAGAGATCAGGAGTTCAAAGCCAGCCTTTGCTAAATAGCAAATGTCAGGCCAGTGAGGACTACAAAATGAAACCCTGACGCAAACAATAACAAAATAAAAGCCAAAGCTGGAGCCAGTTCAGGAGTTAAGATCACGCACTGTTCTTCTAAGGGACCCAAGCTCAGTTCCCAGCACCCACAATGGGTAGTTCACAACAACAGTTCCTCCTCAGGCTCCCTCTTCTGGCCTCCACAGGCACCACGCGCGCACACACACACACACACACACACACACACACACACACACACACACACACAGAGATACACATGAATGAATTATGAAAACACATCTTTAAAAAAACTTCACCCCGGGATCTTTTCTGGTCCCTAAACCCCCGCACTCATTCCCCAGTGTCCCCATGCTTCCCACGGCAGGTCTCCAGTCCCCACCAATCTCTCACTCCCCAGCGGCTGTCACTCTTCTGGTTGCAGATGTCCTCTGACCTCACACTGAAGCTTCCCGGTGCCGATCAGCGCCTCTGGGAACAGGCAGGGTCTACGCCTTCTCTTGGTGGCAGGGCTTCCCCAGCCAGCACTAATGCCCAACTCCTGTCCACAGGCCACCAGGCCTTTCCCTGCCCAGAGCCTCCGTGTGAGGACCAACTTTATCCATTGTCACACAGAGCAGTACTCTTGGTACCTTCTCACTCACAAGCTGGCGAGAGCCTGAGTTTCCTCCTTGGTCTCCCAAGGGTGGTGGCTGTCCTCAGGCAGGGTGAAAGTGTTAGGTGTGAGTCCTCCCTAAGAGTGTTCCCTACGTCAGGTGCTCTTCCCCTCAGACCCAGATCAAGTCACAAATGTGTAGAAACACCTGCCGTGTACTGCAGCAGAAGGTTTGCAAGTTCAAGGCCGGTGGGTGTTACAACAGTGAAACACTGTCTCAAAAAAATGGGCATGAGAGGGGGGACTTAGTGGCAGACCCCACTAGCATGCACCACACGACAGGGGTGTTGATGAGCACCTGTCATCCTGGTGAAGTCCTCACCTAGCATGCACTGACACTTTGGGGTGAGGCAGCATGGTCAGCAATTTGAGGTTATCCTCAGCTACACAGCAATTTTGAGACCAGCCTGGGCTACATGACTCCTTGTCTTGGAAAACCAAAATAAAGTAAATATTTAAAAACATCTGTCGCCAGGTGGTGGCGGCATACGCCTTTAATCCCAGCACTCGGGAGGCAGAGCCAGGCGGATCTCTGTGAGTTCGAGGCCAGCCTGGTCTAGATCCAGGACAGGCACAAGACTACACAGAGAAACCCTGTCTCGAAAAAAAAAAAAACAACAACAAATCTGTCATCTTTATGAAAATTCCCAGGTTCAAAGAACCCACCTCAGGAGCTGACCAGGGAAAAGGGTGACCCCATTTGACCAAAGGGGTAAATGTGGCCCCAGTATCTGAGGGCAAGACCTCCAATCCAATCCTTTAGCCTGAGGGAACGGGATCTAAAAAGAGTTTATGCCCTCAAGACCCTTTCACCTCCCTCACAGTGCTCAAAGTCCCCAAACACACCCCATCTCTCACAACCCTGGGACTCCCTGGCCATCAGGACAGGTGGCCTCACTGTCCCCTCCAGACATGCCCGAGCCCCTTATATACCTACCAGGCCCCTAGACAGTTTTCTGCTAATCAGGACCTGTTGAGGTCTCCTAGTGGCCTCAGTGTCTCCCCAGGCTTTCCCAGGCCCCAGGTGACTGGCCAATTGTCCCCCTCCAGACATGCCCAGGCCTCTTATCCCCTGACAGGCCCCTAGACAGCTTCCTGTCCATCAAGGCCTGTGGAGGTCGCCAAGTGGTTTCACTGTGCCCTCCAGGGAGGCCTTGGTCACCTGCCGGGCCCCGGCGTCCTCGCACAGCCTCCCACGTCACCTTCCCAGGCCCCCTTCAGCCTCCGGCTCCACATCTCCCAGGAAGCCCGGCCTCAGCCGCTTTCAGGCCCGCGCCTGCTCAGGACGGTGGCAGCCGGGGTCCTGGAACGCTCACGCCCCGGCAGTCCCAGGTCGGCGCCCCGCCCCGGCCGAGAGGTGCGCGCCCACGGAGGCGCGAGACTCACCTGCTCGGGCGCTCGGGACTCTGGCCAGAGCCACTGCCGCCGCCGGACTCCGCCATCTTCCGCCGCGCGCCCGAGCGACAGGGCCGCGCGCCGACCCAGAGACCGAGGCCGGGGCAGCGGGCGGGGCCTGCTGAGGACGAGGGAGGGACGGGGCGAGTGGGCGGGGATGGGGCGGAGCTTGAGGGTGGAGGGGCGGGGCCTGGGGAGTGGGGGAGGAGTCAGGGAGAGCAATGGGCAGGGTCTAAGGAAGATGTGGGGGGGAAGGGTATGAAGGGGCGGGGCCTGAAGAGAACGGGGGCGGGACCTGGGGTGGTGGGCGGGGATTGAGAGGCGGAGCCTGTGGAAGAGGTGGAGTTTAAGAACTGAGAAGGGTGCAGTAAGAGCCATGGGCAAGGCCTAAAGAGTGGGCCTGAAGAGGGAGGAGTCTGAGGGAGTGAGGACTGAAGAAGGAGTGGACTGAGGGTCCGTGAAGTCTGAGTAAGGTGGTTCAGGCAGGGCGTGACCCGAAGAGGGGCGGGCCTGGCGGGAAGAGGCCCGTAGAAGACAGGACCTGTGGGAGGAAGGGGTGGTGTCTTGGGGGCGGGGCCTGAGTTGGGCTGGGGCGGGGCTTGGCCTGGGGAAGGAAAGGTTGCATGGCCTATGCAGCAAATGGAGCCCTGTTACCTCCCAACAGAGCCAAGAAGGTGAGGGCGGCCTGAGGGGCGTGCCTGGGGAGGTATGCTGGACCAGGAGAGTGAAGGTTTGGCGCCGCCCCTGGAGGAGAGAAGGAGCCCAAGATGATGACAGGAAGGGTCTGGTCTGAGGAGGCCGTGGTCATCGGATGGGTGGGGCTTAGGTCGTGCCAGGCAGGGCAAAAGGAAAGGTGGGGTCTTTTTTTTTCTTTATTTCTTTATTTCTTTATTTTTGGTTTTCCGAGACAGGGTTTCTCTGTGTAGCCCTGGCTGTCCTGGATCTCGCTCTGTAGACCAGGCTGACCTCGAACTCACAGAGATCCGCCTGGCTCTGCCTCCCGAGTGCTGGGATTAAAAGGCGTGCGCCACCACCGCCCGATAAGATTGGGTCTTGTGATTAGAGCGGACACTGCTGAAGGGTGTGGCTGGCACGGGAAGAAGGCGGGGTCGACGATAAGAGGGATCGGGACTTGGTCGGGTTACAGGGGGCGTGGCTAATAATAATGAGGGGGAGGGTCTGGAGCTTTCAAGGAGGGGCGGGGTTGGGGAGGGGCTTTGGTGTGAGGGGCGGACCCTAGCCTAAGAGGTGTGTATCCAGGCATGAAGGGCGGGGCAAGCAAGGTGAGAGCAAGGCAATTCACAGATGTGGGCGTTGCTGAGGACTGGTAGGGGCATGTTGGTTCAGACTGCACACCCTGATGAGAGAGGGTACCAAAGTCCCTGAGTTTACAGAATCTTTCTCCAGCACCTTGCCCTGAGCCGTATCCCTTTTCCAGCCTGAACACATCCCTCTGACTTCCAATCCTATGAACTCTCTCAGCACATGGTATACTCAGAATCTCCACCCTCAGGCCCCAACATCACTCTCAAATCCCCATCCCTTCTCCTGTGTCTGCCGCATACCCCAGCTCCCACTGCCCCAAATCCCTGCCCACAGAGATGCGTTCCGGCCTGTGTCTCCCAGGCTGGCCTGCAACTGAACTCTCGGGTCTCACCCTGCTGAGTACTAGACTGACAGCTGTGCGTCACACCTGGCTGGCTTTCCTTTCTCCTTCCTGCTTCTCTCCCTTCCGTTTTCTGTTTCGGGCTCTGTGGAGCACGAAACTGTCTTAAAAAGACTGGACTACAAGACCAGACTGCCCTGGAAGGATATAGACTACCAGGACCCTCAAGCCTTTCGATCATTTATTCTTCAGTCTTCTGGTGACCCATTATGAAACCCCAAGCATAAGCCAGGCAGAGGCCTTTAATCACGGCACCAAGCAGGCAGGGGCACGGCCATCGTTATTTTGAAGCCAGCCTTGTCAACACAGTGAGTTCCAGGCCAGCCAGTCAGCGAGGAAGGGCAACTCGTTCAGGTAAAAGCAAACACTAGCAAATACGGGGCACACGCCTGCCACCCCAGCACTCAGGAGTTCAGGGTCAACCTACCTACACAGCAAATTCAAGGCCAGCCTGGGCTACCTACAAAACAAAGTATGATCAAACAGAATGGGACATGGTAGGTGCTCAGACATTGTGACTGACAGACACCAGCCATCGCTGTGAAAACAATGAGTGTGTGCACGTACCAGTCCCCATGCTCTGGGGATGCACCCTTGTCTACTGAACATCAGCTTTGAGAATTTTGCTTCTAGCTGTGCTGTGTGCGAGCTCAACCCCACTGGCAGAGAGGCCCATAGCTTGCACACCCTCCACACATGCTGCCCCAAACAGTGGTGTCCATATGTGCGTACACTTCACACTCATCCAGATTCGACCCACATGTCAGACACACAGCCACAGCCTAGAGGCAAGCAAGACAGCATGCCTCAGGACAGTGCCTGTGTCTCCCGCTCCCAGGGCAGTAGGCTCTGGATGCCTCAGTGGCTTCAGGGTCACAAGGTAGAGGACCAGCCAGTGCAAAGGTCACAGATGGATGTGAGCCACCATGTGGGTGCTGGGAACGAACCTGGATCCTCTGCAAGAGCAGCCAGCACTCTTGACTGCGGAGCACTGAGCCAGTGAAGCCTCTGCCCCTTCCTTTTCTTCCTTCCTTTTTGTTTTGTTTTACGGAAGCTCTGGGCTGCTTTGGTGGCGCACACCTACCATTCCAGCATTGGAGTCTGAGGCACAAGCTCAACTTCAAGGCCAGCCTGGGTTATGCAGCTTCTCTCCAAGAAAGATAAAAGGAGTGAGTGGGTCAGGTAGACGGCGCCGCCGCAGGCGAACGTGCCTGCTACCAAGCCCAACAACCCGAGTTTGATCTTTGGGACACACATGGTAGGAAAGGACTCCTGCAAATCGTCCTCTGCCCTCTACACACACTGTGGCATGTGCCCCCACTCCTCAACATGGATGGATGGAGGCAAAAAAGTGCACTTTGGGGGGTGGGCCCATCCTGGTCCACTTTGACATCATCTGGATCTGGATAATCACACTGACAAACCCACTTCCAAGTGAAGCCACACTCTGGGCTTCCACTGGGAAGGAAATCAAGGACACCACTCCACTCGTTCTAAGGAATTAGCTGGTGGCGGTCATAGTTTTATTTCTTTGTGTGTGTGCACGCAGGTATGGGTGCCTGCCACAGTGGACACATGTGGAAGCCAGCAAGCAGTCGTGGGAGTCAGCTCTCCTTTTCCACCACGTGGGCTCCACGGACCAGTCAGATTCAGGCTTGGTGACAAGTGCCTTTATCCACTGAGAAATCTTCGCAGGCCCTTAGGTGTTTTGTTTTTGTTTTTGTACCAAAAGATATAAATGCAAATAAACTGCCACAAATTGAAAACTTCTCAAAGGCCCATCAACAGATGGACTGGTAAGCACATAGTCACACAACAGCACCAGATGTGATGAAGTTCCAAAACACTGTGGAAGAGTCCAGAGTGTTCCGGTGGACATGGAACATGGACATGGAAGGGCACAGTTTGGTGTCAGGAAGGGCTCAAGGGATAGCAATGCAGCAAGGAAAAAAATGAAGAGAGCCCCGCTTCACCCATGCAGACCTCCAGGGATGCAGCCAGGTGCACGGGAATTTGAGGACAGGCTGTGTGTCTATCCGTGTGACACTGAAAACAGCCCTTTGCTCATCCGTGGAGACAGGCCAAGGAAGGGGCTGCCTGGGGGAGCTGGCGGGAGTTGAATTGCAAAGATCTCTAGGAATGTTCTGGGTGACATGGCAAGACTATTTACAAAAACTCATCTGCTGAGTACTGACCGTGGCTGCAAGGATGCAAATTCTGTCCCAGGAACTGACTCCTTTGCTGGGGTAGTTGTGTAAGCAACCCTGGCCTGACGTGCCCAAAGCCATCTCCTCAACACTGCAGAAAAGGGGAAGCAGGCCCGTCTACTTTGTATTGTTTTACTTCCTTCATTTATTGTGTGTGCTCATGGGGAATGTTCATGTGTGTGGATGGCAGGGATCAGTCTGTTGTCACTCCTCAGATGTCCACTGTTTGTTTTTAAGAAGGGGGCTACACTCCTGTTGAGAGTTTAAATACCCTCACATCTGACTTGAGTTCTGGAATATTTTTGAAATATATTATAATGGAAAATATAAACCCATGGCGTGCATACTGGTCAGTGACAAAGGCCACTCCAGATGGTAAGAACTGCACAAAGGCAGCAGGTGCTTTAGCTGGGTCAAGGACAGCCTAAAGAAACAACGCCATCCATGCTGTATCAAGAGTAGAAGACAAGATATTCTAGAATGTTCCAGAACATTCTAATATTTTGGGAACATTGTAGAAAAGCCCAGAATGTTCCAATAATTCCAGGTGGACATGATGTAGAAGGTCACAAGAGGTGCCAGAAAAAGCTCAGGGAAAGTGATGGGGCCACGGTGGCTCAGTGGGAAGTGGTGAGGCGGAGCAGACAGAGTGTCGACAAAGATGTATTGAGAGCGGCTTCCTCAGTGTGTGGGACGCAGCTGCGCCCGAGACGCCCAGTGTGTCGCATCTGGCAGAGGGACCATTTATTACACCAATCATCACACAGTGAACAAGCAACTGCTTAATTGTCAACATGATAAAAACTATAGTTGAGACATTTTGACACGGGTTTTGGGCCAGAGTTGGGAGGCTCGGGAGAGTCCTTCAGGCCAAAGAGCTGGTCAGGTGTGCACAGGGAACAGCCTTCAACGCACAAGGAACAGCCCTTGTGGGGGCCAAGAGGCAGCTTTAGTGGGAATCTGACCTTTGCCATGTGTTTTCTCCAGGAGGAGGCCATGAGTCCCCATCCTTCCCTTACAGTGTTCAGGGTGTCCATGTTGCAGGCCTGCTGTACAGCAAAGCTCTCTTCTTACCTAGCCCTGGCAACACAGCTACCCCACCTCACCCCACCCCGCTGCTCTGTCCCCAGGGAACTAGGATGCTGGTTCCCATGGCAACCCCCTGCGACCTGGACACATGGGTGTTCCTGCAGCTTGCCATGAGCCAGCCAGCCAGACACCTATTACCATTTGATCTGCATGCCACACCAGATGACAAAGAACAGAACCTTGGGGACAACTAGGGAAACTGAGGCTTCAAGGACTGCATCAAGGTTGGATGTCAGCCATGTAGTCAAATAGCCTTTTCTCTCCTGACATTCTGGTAGAAACCATGGCTAGACACCGGCAGGGGAGTCCTGAGTTCTTCATGGGGCGGAGCCCCTGCTTAGGATCCCCAGTGAGGGGCTGGGGGGCGTGGCTGGAGATTCCTCTAGTCTCCCTGCTCAACCCACTTCCCTAGGGCAGGCACAGACTGAAGCAGGCTCAGCCACTCTATCTTTTTTATTCACTTTATTTAAAGATTTACTCCTCCTCACCCCCTCCCAGCAGGGAGTCCCCATCCCTCCCTTTTGTAGGGCTGGGTCACCAGAGATAAAGGGAAAGAGCCTGAGCAGAGGGGAACCCGAGTCCTCAGACCCCAAGAGCGGACACAGAGAAAGAAAAAGGTGACAGACCGGGTTCATAGCCAGAGCATGTGAAAACGCCGAAAAGCCAGCCCCAGAGAAAGCAAGACAGTGGAGCTCAAGGGGGCTGAAAGACGCGCTGGCAAGCGAGGGAAGCAGGACTGGGGGTAGACAAGGCCAAGGCTGGTCCCCACCCTGACCTTGGACTTCAGGGTGCAGAGTGAACGAATATGGAGGGGCCCCCTGCAGGCCAAAGATTACAGCGTGGTCAAATCTAGCTTCAACTTGTAGGGCGGGGGGCTGTCCTCATAGGCAGGTGGCGGGGACGGGTACAAAGGCCAGGCTGACTCCATCAGGAGACCCTTATGCTGCTCTGCGGTCAGAGGCTGTAGAATCGGGGCAAAACCCTCATTTGGCTTACCAGGGCAAGCAGGAGTCCCCAGCCCTAGACTTCCTGCCCCACCCCAAGACCCTAGCCACCAGGTGCTACTCACTTGGAACCTGAGGTGCTGGCCCGGTGTGCTGACCAGGGTACAGCAACTCAGCCACAGCATGATCAGGACGGAGAGGAAGAGACAGCAGAACACCACCCACCGAGGCAACCCGGAACGCCTGTCTCAAGGGCAGGCAGGGCTCAGCTGCCTGCAGCCTCATCCAGCAGCACCTAGCCCAGCCCAGCCCACGGGCACCCACCGGGACATGCAGCTGAAGAAGTCATTCTCTTCTGGGTCCTCAGACTCCACCTTGGCCTTGCTGGGCTTCACTCGGGTCTTAGCTCTCCTCACTTTGTCCAAGGGGCCTAGGGGATCTGGAAGGTGGGGGGCAACTTAGTCGTCCCCCCCTGCCCCCCCCCCCCCGCCTCAGCTAAGAGAGCAACCTGGTAAGAAGTGGGAACAAAGGTCAGGAATTGGGCAGGAGGAGGTGTAGGGCCGGAGTGGAGGTGCAAGGGATCCTGGGAGATTAACTACAGAACGTGGAGATTGCCCACGAATCCTGGGAGACCGTGGAGCCCAGGACACTGGTTATGGAATTGTTGCAATCTTACCCATGTGTAATTCCAGGCCCTCAGGGTGGGACCCCCTCAGGGTCACCTCCACTCGCTGAAGACGACTCCCTTGGACGGCAAAGTTCTCTACCACAGGTTGGGTCTGAGCAGGGAATGAGATGTCACAGAAAGACCCAACTGGGCTAGAGTTCCTTGTTTGGGTGCCCAGGTAGCCCTAGGTCTCCTAGGGGTCAGGCAGGAAGAACAACGCCCCATAGACCTTAAGCCCTCTGATAACCCAGGAATAGGAAGACACCCAGGCCAAGGACACAATTACAGATTGGCTAAAATGGTCACGGACACAACTAGTGTGAACCCCTATTCAGGTAAAACCCCATATGGAGAGCAGGTAAGATGTCTCAGTGAAGAAGGGTGTTGGCTGCCAAGCCCATGACGGAGTTCTGTCACTGGGACCTACATGAACTGGTGAGAACAGGGTCCTAGATGTCACCTTGCCTGAAGCTTCTCACCAGGACTTCACATGCCACGAGGTGACCACTGGGTGGTTCACCCTTTCTCAGCTCTCACCTGGAAGACCACCACCTTCCGGTTGTCTGTCTGAAGGGAGTATGTCCAGGTGGAGGACACGAAGCCCTGGGCGGAACTCATGAGGCCGTTGCACATTGTGGAAAGTAAGCTCAGCAGAGACAGAGGCCCCCTGGGCAGCTCCAACGCGGTTTTCTGGGAAGGGGAGGCCCAACCCAGCAATATCAGTAAACTCATGCTGGGAAACTGGGCCGCGGGGAATTAGACTAACAGTCTAACAGAGACCCCGTCCTCCAGTGGGTTAGCTGGCGTTCTCTGAGCCCCTTCAGGGTTACCTTCTGCTCCGGCCGGGTCTCGGCTTCGGGGGTCTGGCCCCAGCATCCCTCACTGCAGGCCCGTTGCTCTGCTGCCTTCCCGTAGGCCTCAGTGCAGGCTGTGGGCCAAATGATGGAGTCACGGGGGCTGCTTCCCAGGGTACCGCTGCCACAGCCCCAGGTGCCCCAGCCCCGAGGACTCACCAGCTTCACATTCCGTCTCTGTGGCATTGGTCCCAGAGCTCCTGGCCACGAAGCGGCAGATGGAGAAAAGCCGACAGCCACGTTCACAAGCACTGGTGAGGACGGCCTTGTTCTTCAGGGAATCTGAGGGGCCCTCCTGCTCACGCTGGGAAGGGAGACAGGGACTCAGGCAAAGGGCCTCAGGGAAGAAGACTGAGGTCACCTAAAAGTCCAGGAGACTGAAGTGAAGTTGTGGGGAGGCAGGATCATCATGGGGAGGGCTTTCTAAGCAGACTGGACAGTGAAGGCCCTGGTAGAAGGAGCAGTGGACCCCAGAAATCCGCAAGGTGGAGGCTGGCAGGGAGAGCTTCTCAGAGAAAGGCAGAGAGCTTATCCTTTTGGGGATGGGTTGGAGCAGAGCTGGCTCAAAGGGGAAGGCAATGAGAGGGATGTGGATGGGGAGGTGCCCAGTAGTCCTCGCACAGCGGGGGTGGAGGGGTGGGGGGTGAGCTCCAAGGCTTCTTAGGAGCAGGTCTCAGCCTCCCTTGGGCATATTCCCCTACACACACACACACACACACACACACACACACACTGCGTTCATCCCAGGTGTCAATTCAGTCCTCCCTGGAAGGAAGGACAATTCTGAGACACCCCTCCCCCCTTCAAGTCACCCCCCATTGCAGGCACCCCAGCTCCTCCCCCTCCTGAAGAGCCTCCATCCACACTCCTCGCCACTTCTAGGGACTCTCGCGCCGATCCAAGGGTCCTGCATCCCTTCCCTACCTAAGGAACCCCCATCCCAGGTCTCCTAGCAAGGACCTCTCCCACAGCCGAGGTTCCCCCATCCAGACCCTTCCCCCTTCCGGGGACCCTACTCTCTGGCACTAGCAGACTGAGGCTTCGCATCCCCTCCCCCACCCGAGGGTCCGCCACTCAGGCCACTCCCCGTTCCCAGGAACCGGGTTCCCGGGCACCCGTCTCTTACCTGAACGGGCGGCGAGACAGAGTGGCTCTGGCGACAGCGCTGCTGGCACCTCTGCGTGTCCCCGAGCTGCGGGGCAAAGGGGTCGCGCGCCGGCGCTGGGGCGGCCTGCGACGCCAGCAGCAGCAGCAGCGGCAACGCGACCGCAGCCATGGCCGAGCGTGCGCAGCGCGGGCCGAGTGCGGGCGTCGGGATGCGGGACCCGGGGTTGACGTCACTGAGCGAGGCAGCCTGGGAAGGGGGGGGCTGCGGCGAGCGGGGCTGGCAGGTGAATCCCCACCCCGGCCCGGGACACCTTGATACTCAAGGCTGTGCACAGTCTCTGCCCGGACTTGGACCTGCCGACCATGGAGACCAGGGAGGGGCCTGGTCAGATGCGGTAACACTTAGGCCACTCAGGGATGGAGGCAGAGAACAGACAGGATCCTTAACCAAGGAATTAAAAAACAAAAAAAAGAGGAAGTAGAGCGAGGAGGAGGAAGGGGACCAGGAGGATGGATAGGCTGAAGGCCTAGGAAGATGATGGAGGAGGTAGAAGGTGGGGGAGGGGCAGAAGAGAAGGGGACGGGGACTGAAAGATGGGGGAGGGGAGGAACACAGTGAGGGAGGGGAGGGAGGGGTAGGACAAAGGCTCTGGAATGGAGGGAAAGGAGGCTGGAAGGAGAAGGGAGGCCAGGAGGGGCAAGAGGACGATAGGGCTGGAGCCAGAGTGGATTTGGAGCTTCAGAGGGCACGGAACCCCAACCCCCGACCACCAGCCACAGTCTGCTGCTTCTGGGACACTAAGATTCTTGGAGAGATACCTTCCCGGCAGCTGCCTCTTCCAGGAAGTCCTCGGGGACCTTCAAGGCGCAGCACTAGGGTGGCCTCCGTCCATTCCAGCGCAGAAAAAGGCCTGAGGGAACCCAGTGTCTCCCTGGGACTAGGAGACCCCCACCACCCTAGTGAGCAAGGCCGCTGGGCCGCTCACTTTTCCAATTTGATGGGAAAACTTGAGGCAAACAGGGATACTGTCCGCCTTGGGTTCGGAGGTCTCCCCAGCCTTCTCTCTCCAGGAGCCGAGGCCAGGGCTCTGAGCCCCACTGGCCTGCTTGGCACAGGTGCCAGCGTCCCGCGAGCCGCGTCGCTCCGCCCCAGCAGACAAGGAGGCCGCTTGAAGGGTCGTCGGGTCACAGGGAGCCGCAGGTTCCGGCCGGGAGGAGGGGCTGGCGCGCCCCGGTCCCCGCCGGCCGCTGGCTTTCATCTCGGCGGCCCCGGCCGGCCCCCACGTGGCTTAATCAGGCGCGGCTGTGCCTGGCGGACCTGAACATCTGGATCCCGGCGCGGCCCCTCCCCCGCCCCTCCCAGGCTGGGCCTCCCTCCCATCAGCGCACCCCTGGCAGTCCCTGCGCACTGGGACCCCAACTAGCTCTCTAAGTCAAACGCCTTGGCGCATGCCCATCATCCCAGCTCGAGGAAAGGTTGAGGCAGGAGGATCGCCGCGAGGTCAAGGCCAATCTGGGCTACGAAGTGAATTGTAGGTCAGCCTGGCCCACAGAGTGAGACCCTGGCTCAATAAACCAAACACAAAGCCTGCTTCCCCAATTTACAGGTGGGAAACCTGGCATCCGGACGCCTGGGCAGAGCCGGAATTCAAGTTCACACTTGTCATTTGCAGAGTCCCGGGCACTTAACCCTTCCGCAATCACGGCCCTTCATTCATTTCAGACAAACACTCCTTTCAACGAAGATTGTCGTGCCACGACTATTTTTTTTCCTTGCAAGAGCCCTATAGGGTAGGGCTGCCCCCCTTCCAAATTAGGTCATTGGAACTCGGAAAGGCACAGGGGATGGGCCTCGGTGACAGGATACAGGAGAGGAGAGGCTGCCAAGGTGGAGAGGATGGGGGCTCAAGAGAAGCCGGGCCTGAAAATTCCAACAAGGAAGGCTGAGGCAGGAGGATGGCCAAACATTTGAAGCCAGCTTGGGCTGCAGGAGGGGGAGGGGAGCGTCGATAAACGTGCAAAATAACATCCCGTACTTTTTGCGAAAGGAGAAACTGAGGCATGAGGGGTTGGGTCGCAGTCTGGAGCGCCCCAGCGCTGTTGGTTCCCGCTCCCTCCCCCTTTCCGCTCCTCGAGGCCGCAGGGGGAAGCGGAAGAGGACTTGACCCCGGCCCCCCAGGTGAGCCCGGGCGCCCCTCCCGGCGTTCCCGGGGGAGCTGGTCCAGGTGAGGGGCGGGCGGCCGGCGGGCGGCCGGGGTCGGATTTCAGGAAATCCGCCGACATTCCTTCGGGGCTTAAGAGGGAAAGTTGACTCGCCGCCGCCCCGCGTCTACCCCCCCACTTCCTACCCCCCGGGGCGGCGCGGCCGGGGGCGGGGGGCGCTGTCCGCGTGAATCAGCGTACTCCCAGCGTCCGGGAAGCAGCCACCCGGGTCAGGGCGGGCCGCAGACAAGCGCCCTTTGTCCCTGGCCGCCCTCAGCACGACCCTACTGACCCCCACCCCCAAGCCGAGCCCAGCCGGGCAAGGCTGGGTGGCGCCGCTCCTTGCTGACGTGGAGGAAGCCGTGAGAAGAGGGGCGCGATTCTCCCCCAAACAGCTGATCATCCTGGGACGCAGCACCAGTCTCTTGAGGGTGCAGAGAAACAAGGAGCCCGGGCTTGGTGGCCCCAGAGCACACAAGCCCAGGCTGGGACCTCCCCACATGCATCTCTAGTACTTCAGTTACGGCACACTATAAAATTGAGGTGTGGCATCTCCACTGTCCAGGCTGAGGCACCAGGGTGGGGAGAGGGCCTGGGGCACCCGCAGACCCCAAACCAGGCAATCAGACCTTCACTTCCCCATTACCCAGAGCACGACCAAGTACAGGCTGGAGGGGTGGTGACCCTGGAGGAATGGTCAGGTCACAGGGAAGGGCATGGGTCGGCTCTGTCCTCCTCAGACAGGCTTTGGTTTCCACTGGTCCTGTCGCTGTACCTCAGTCTCGAGTGGTTTTCATCTGGTAATCCAAGGCTGGTGGAATCTCCCTGATTTAAACCTGCCCTACTCCTCTACAGGAGACCCCTGGGTGAAGAGTTCAGGAGTAATGAAGAGCCCTTCCAGCCCCCCCTTCTCACATTCCCAGCCACATTCAATGACTTAGGTCAATATTTGTCAGAAGGTACACCAAAAGTACCCTCCTTTCCTGAGCAAAGAGAGGGCCGAACCGGGGAGGAAAGAGTTAATTCCATGGGAGCGTGAGGACAGGGAATGGGTGGTGCACCTTATGGTCAATTCCCTTGGCCCAAAGGGCAGAGGTCAAAGACCAGAAAGGGATGTCTGCCAGCTTGGGTCACACAGCAAGATGAGGTGTGTCTGGCCTACTCCGAAGCCCTGGGTCACATCACTTGCCGGGTCTGTTTTCTGGCTTCTTGGAGGGTCAGGATTCTTTCACGACTTTTTTCTTTTTGTGAGTATTTTTTGAACTTTTCAGGCCCTCACTGGCGCAGCATGGAGTCTAGAGCCCTCAGGTGTTCAGGACTTACACAGTTAGGTGCTGGGGAGCCAGCGCTTTGGTGGCCTGTGCTAAAAAGACAGGGAAGGACAGTGAAGGGGTCAGCAGGGGCTCGAAAGCCACTCACGGTAGAAGGCTTAAGAGGAGTCTTCCCAAAATCACAGCCAAAGGGCTAAGGCCCCTAAAAGCAACGAGCCAGGCATTTGCCCAAACAGCCAGCAGGCTGGACTGTGGGACGGTGGGCAGGGCAGAGCTGGGTCTCGCTTCTTTCAAAGCCCCTCGGCCTGTGGTTAAATCAAAGACAGCAGGGAGGCGGAATGAAGCCCGGAGGAGGCCCTCTCAGCATCTCGGGAGGACGAAAGGCCTGGACCAAGATTGGGGAGGGGGCTCAATCTCAGAATGGGGGTGTGTTTTGGAACCAGGGCCAACAGGATTGCTGATGGATTGTCCGTGTGGGAAGAGGGGAAAACACTCATTCACGCAACTCCCAGGTTGCTGCCTGCAGCACCTGGGTACATGGGGAAAGCTAGTCCTTTCCACCGGGGACTGGGGGAGGAGGAGCGTTCAGGAAAAAATGAAATAAAGATCTTTGCTGCAAAAGCCTCCCAGGAGCCGAGGTTCCCACCTCCCCTACCTACCTATGCAGAGGAACTGGAGTAGAGCAGGCGCTGTGGGGGAGGGGCCGCGATGATCCTGGAAACGTGGCCAAGACCGACTACCTCCACGTGACCCACTACCCCCACGTAGCCCTCTAGGCCACCTGGCCACATTTCTCAGAGAGGACCTGCAGGCCAGTGGGCCACTTCTGCACCTTCTAGTCTCACCAGAGTTAAGGCTGGTTGGTTGGTTGGTTGGTTGGTTTTGGACATTTCTTCTGTACTTGACTCTTCCCATGTAAATTTTATAATTGTCCCCAAATTATCCACTGTGTAAAAGAAGAAACTGGGGTACAGGAGGCCTGGTTTGCCACCAGCAAATGGCAGTGGCTTCTTTGGTTTGTATTTCCCGCCTTTGTCATTTGAGGCTGTCCGGGGGGCCTTTAAGAGAAAGGCAAGCCTCTAAGGCAATCGCCGCTGGGTGGGAAGAGTTGAGCCCTTCACTTTCGGGGAGCTGTGGCTGGGCGCTGTTACCCAGTCTGGGGGTGAGACCACCCGGGAACTCTATTTAAAGAGCCACCTCACCACAGAGACCTTGCAGGCCAGAGACCTCCTTTCCCTTCGTGGGCATCCGGATAGGGTGGAGACGAAGAGATCAAGGAGATGAGATGCCAGGGCTGGGCTGGCCCGGGAGGGTTCCCTAAAACCCCAAACAGTGGCCAACAAAAATAACCCAGAGAAAGAATTGGGCGCTCAATCGGAGATAGCTACGCGTCGCTGGAGGCTGCCCGCGTTACCTGAAGTTGGCGGGCGGCGCCTGTTACAGCGATTACTCACCGCGTGGCGCACCCCACCCGCGGGCCGCTGAGTGGATTTTTCCGTGGGGGGATGTGAAGAAGTCTAGGAAGAACTCCTTTGCACCGATGCCCTCCTGGGAACTAGGAATGCGGGGTTCAGTCCCGTTCCCCAAGGGACACACCTCTCCCGAGTGCCCACACATAGGGGTTCCCTACGCACGCTACCGGACATCCCCAAACCTAGCACACGCAGAGGACAGGCGAGGAGTGCGACGGGAGGCTGGGGACTTGGCGCCTTCTGACTTTTATTTTTTTTTCCTGCGCGGGC